AGCACCCACAACTTCTGAAGGCAAATCATTCCACTGTTTAACTGTTCTCACTGTCAGGAAATTTCTCCTTAGTTCTAGGTTGGATCTCTCTTTAATGACTCATTGCTTCTTGTTTTGCATTGGAGAATTAGTTGACTCCCTCTTCTTTGTGAAAGCCCTTCAGTTACTAGAAGACTTCTATCATATCACCCCTAGTCTTCTCTTCATTAGACTAGACATACCTAGTTCCCTCAATCATTCATCATATGGTTTGCCCCCCCCAGACCCCTTATCATTTCTGTTGCTCTTCTCTGCACTCTTTCTAGGGTGTCAACATCTTCTTTGAAATTATGACCCTATATGATACCATTGAATATCCTATTGAGCCACTTGCAAGGGTTGGTAATTGATTCCACTAGATTATAATGATTTGATCCTTGAATGCACTGTTCCAGTCGATATTGGTGGGAAATGAAAAGTTGAGTTCCTGGTCACTCCTGGGTGGAATGGCTCAAGAATTGGCTTAAATCTATTAGTTGGATGAATATTATCATTACACAGAAGGCACCAGGTTATACAGTTGAACTCCAGTCCAAACAGTGAAGGGCCTAACTCACCCTCTAAAGACTAAGAGGGACTGGATGGAGTGGAACAGACATAGGATGATGAATCCTAGAAAAAGAGAGCTAATGACTGCCCAGAAACTATTATTTGCTCTATATTAGCTCTGAATTACTTTGGATAAAGTAATTCAGTTATCAAAGTTATAAAGTTATCAAAGCCCCCAATAAGGCAGCTTCATGATCAGGGGCCTCTCTTGGATTCCTAGCTCCTGTTTGACAGGCCAGTTGATGTGGTGACCAAGAGAGCTGTGATTGGTAGAACAGTGGCAACTTTTTGGAGCCCTTCTCCCTTATCGCCTCTTCAGATTGCTGTAATGTGCTTTAATTGGAGCTACTTTTGAAGACTACTCAGAAACAATGGTAGGTAGAGAATATAGCAGCCCATTTGGTAGTGGGTAAGAGCCATACAGTTGCCAGTAGGTTTCCAGATTTCTGTTACTGATATTTACTTATTATGTTTGTTTTTAAAGGCATTGGTAATTACTTGTCTTTTTTATTAGTGAGTCATAAGAGTCTTTCATTGGGGAGGTGTCTAAACATGTTAAATAAGTAAATAAATGCACTAGTCAAATCCTAAAAGGTTTGAAGAAAGATTGGTATCAATAAATCATTTGGTTCTTTTGTTGAAACCTTGCGTTATAGGTTGTGAGACTTTTCTGATTCTCTTCCTATCAATTCTCCCACTTCTAAATTTGTAAAAAAAATGGGGCTTCAGTGTCAAGAAAAATGCCCCCCTTCCTCTCTTCCTGACAGAAGCCTTTATACTAACAAAGAAATTAATTCAATACCATCCAGGTATTTTACAGCTTGCAGTAGATCTCTCATATGCTTTTCTCTGTTGGTAAATAATGTGGTGCCTGTGGTCATTAGTGTACCTTCAGTCTCCTTTCTTGTACTTGGCAAACTCTCTGATTTTATTGTATTCTATTTTATTTTAAGATTGTTTAAGATTGGATGAAAAGGGGGAAAACTGCTACAGTGCAAAACACCAACTTTACCTAGCATTTTTATTTATAAGAAGACTTCTGTCTCCTACATAGACTTTAACCTACATCCCTAGAAAATAAAAACGTTCAGTATTTCCTTTGGCAGAATGCTCACCTGCTCAGAAAGAAAAGGCAAAGGTGTAATAGAAATTATTTGAGAGGTGCATGCTAGAGAATATTACATTAATCATTTTCTTCAAATAAATCTAAAGGGAGAACTCCTAGCTCTCTAGACCCCATTTCCAAATACTTGACAATCTTTGGTGACAATTTTTCTTTAAAACACAGACATGTTTAAGCTCAAGAGTAATTATTTAAACTATAGATATTTTGAGCAAACCATCAATCTCAGAAACAAGAACCTGAACATCTGAGACCTCTGTCCATACCTCTTGCAATGTTCAGAGACCAAAAATAAAAATAAGGTACAACTTCCAACAAGAGATAAGATGCCTACCCTTTACAGTAAATGAATATTTTATAATTAGCGGTGCCCACCATGAGTAAATTCTGCTAAATAACCAAGAACAAGACTGGCTAATCATTAGAAATTTGAGCATAATTGTAGTTAAGAGCTTAGTTACAAGCTCTTAACTTGTAAATAACTTAACTTGTAAATAACTTAGTTACTACAACAACATAGCAAGATTGTATTGGTCCCTTTCTCTCTTAACTCGATTGGCTAGCCTTCCATCGATGCAAAGAAGATGAAGCTTGATTTATTTTGAAGAATACAATCTGCTGCGTTTAAAATTTCTACACCCACATAACAGTGACAGTTATGTTACAGTTCCTTTGTTTTTTTGCATGTGTGTGGCTTGCTGATATATCATGTGAAAAACCACATGTTCTAACCTAACAAAAAAGATAGGCATCCTAAAAAAAGTTAATAGTAAACAGAGTTCTATGACGCATATCCCTTTTAGCAAAAAACCCCCCCAAAAACTGTAACTACTTTAAGCTTGGCAGCTGCATGTTCCTAGTACTTCACCAACATTAAAATGCATCAGTTGTGGGTTTAGCACTTACTATGGATGTCTGAATCATATTGTTTTTCCTTCTCACTGAGCCACAAAACTTGTTAGTCTGTTTATAAATATGTGGGTTAGCCAGTTTGTAAACGGTCCCTGTGACCTTTTTTAAAACTAGCTAGCTTGTCTATATTGTTTTGGAGAAGTTAATAGAAGGAATGATCCTTTCACCTTCATACAAAACAATGTTTGTTATTTTATTATTGTTGAACTATCTTTTTTGTACAGCCACCTGTTGCTTGCTTTTTGAATGCTGTAATATTGAAGCACTTCTTATTTTAACAGATTGATTTGTCGTTGTTTTCCTTTTCTTTCAACAATTCAGCTTTTCCATCCCATCTATTTTTGTTATAACTATTATTATATCCGCATTTGGACATGTGGAAAATATTTTAAATTTGAACCATTTCAGACTTAAAATGTCCCATTTGGAGTATGAAATGGACTGTTTTCTCATCTTGAAAGTATTTTGGAACATTGGCGCTTGAAACATTTCCAAACCCACTTCATATTTAAAGCAGAGCATTTTGAATCTGAAACAGTTTGCATTCTTAATGTTTTGCATGCCCATACTATAGATCTGCATAGACTGCAAGGCGATCAAACAGGTCAGTCCTAGAGGAGATCAACCCTGAATGCTCTTTAGAAGGCCAGATCCTGAAGATGAAACTCAAATCTTTTGGCCACTTAATCAGAAGGAAGGACTCACTGGAGAAGAGCCTAATGCTGAGAAAGATTGAGGGCAAAAGAAGAAGGGGACGACAGAGAATGAGGTGGCTGGATGGAGTCACTGAAGCAGTATGTGTGAGCTTAAATGGACTCCAGAGGATGGTAGAGGGCAGGAAGACTTAGAGGAACATTGTCCATGGGGTCGCGATGGGTCGGACATCTAACAACAACAACCATAGATCTAATTAGGATAAGAGTAGTATCACTTTGGAACAGCGTCCATCATTATGGCTATAATGGCATGGCAGAGAATTCTCTTATCTAAACGTAGATATGTTAAAATATGTCCATTTTAATATACCCCAGAGCTAGGGTTGATATAGAATAGCCTTGGTCATTTCGATGAGCAACTTCTGTCAGAAAAGAAGTGGAGGATTATACTCACTCATTCTCTCTGATCTTTCAGTTTTTCTATTATTTATTGTATTTTGGTATAACTATGGTATAAGTGTAGAAACGGAGTAATAAGATAGTTCTGCTTCTGTAATCCAAGTCAGGTTTTGTAAAGTTGGGTGTATACTGAAATGCATATTTTTTGCTGCAAGGTCCCTTGGAATTTGATCTTCTGCATTCATACATACATACATACATACATGTATGTGTGTGTGTGTGTGTGTGTGTGTGTGTGTGTATATATATATATTATCTACAATCTGTAGTAAAGTATCAAACGCTAATTAATCTCTTATCCTGGAATCAATAATGGGCTGGATGAGGATTAGTATGTTTAAGCAAGGCCTTTAATAACTTTTAATTGATTTGATAGCTTCAACTGTTCCTGTTAGAAATAGATTGTCTATACTGTGCACCCTTTTGATAGGGTTAATGTTGGGTTAATATTGAAGATAATAAAAAAAAAAATAGTTACAGATAATCTTGTCAGAATTGTAACAGAAGCAGCTAGATGGGAGTAGGTTATACATGTTCTTAATGAATTACACTAGTTATATTTGTTTTCAAGCTCAAAGAGTCAGTTCTTACCTTTGAAGCTCTAAACAATTTGAGATCCATATTGTCGAAGAAGTGTGTATACTATACAGCATTTTAAGAGCTTCCAAAAGCACTTTTCCCAAGTTCCTTTGACGGGAGAAGCTCATTGTTCGGAAACTACCTTCTCTATATCAACTCATATAGCTAAAATGCAATCTCCACTAATGCTTGACTAACACTGCTATTATATTATCATTAGGCTAACATATTCTTACTTGCCAGCATGTTAAAATATTCCACTAATCTATTTAGCTTGATGTTTTCATGCTTTGTTTTTGTGTTGTTGTTGTGATATTTTGGAATATCATTATGTTGCACAGTATGTTTTGATTTGTATTCTACTTGAGTACTGATATTCCAAGAAAAGAAAAACAATTAAAAATAGTTTTGGTGAATGGTTAAATAAATAATAATCTCCTTTATCTACTGTTTGCCTACAATACTACATACTGTTAGTAAGTGTTTTTAGCTGTTACTCTTGGTATTACTGCTTGATATTACTGCTTTTGGGTAAACATGCAGGTCTTGAAATAATATTTTGAAATAATATTCAGGCTTTGAAATAATATTTTAATGACTTCCATAGTCCTGATCAAGGCAAACAGTTGGTCTAGCAAGTAAAGTTAAGTTATGAATCTTAATATAGTATCTTTATTTTCCAGACTTCCACTAGTCAAGCTGTCTTCCGTGTCCAGTCTGGTGTTTGTCAACTTTTTCGAGAAACTCTCATTCATAAGGGATTTGTGGAAATTCAGACTCCAAAGATTATTTCTGGTATGCATTCATTATTTTAATGGATTCAGAAGAATTCACACATTGAACACATGAATTTGGGGAAATCTCATTTCTGCGGTAGCCAACATGAATTTATTTTAAATACTTGGTTGCTCATTAGCACTTCTCTTTAAATTGCTACTGCCTCCTTTGAAACAGTAGCTGATTTAAAAAGCTGAAGCACTTTCCATTCTCAAGTATGGTATGGAAAAAAAATTCTCCTTGTTTAGTTTCTGGTGCTGTCATTTTCATCTTTGAAACTGACACTTATATCAAGAGTATATATAAAAAAAAGTCCTGTGGGATTAGAGCAATGGATGGAACTGAAGAATTTATATGCTAAAACTGGATTAGAGAATTTACCTATTAGTCTCAATATTGCCAGTCACACAAAGCAAAGAGTTCTCTAGTCTTAGAGATTGCAAGACCTTCATGCTTGTGATTCCTCCTTTTCCTCCTAATCACCTCTATGAGTTTCTGTTGCCTCTTCCTTCTCTTCTGAAACAAGCTTTGATGCTCTGCTAAAGTGAAAGATACCAATTGAGGATTGAGTTGGAAAGTCCCTTTGTTGTAGGCATTGGGGAAAACTTGACCTGTTGACCCAGAACTTTGGAGTAGGGTAGGAGGGCTTAACTTGGGTTGGCTTGAGGGTTGCACCACGGTTTGGAGTGAAATGTTGAAGGCAGCATTCCCAAAGTAGGCAGGGACAGATCAAAGGTTTGTGGGAGGGAGGTTAAGGGGTGAAATAGATCAAGGAAGATTAGCCTTTCCTTTTAGTTGCCCCCAATTCCAAAAATGCCAAAAAAGAAAATAGCCAATTTTTTTTTTTTGGCTGTTCACTTATAAGGGCCTCTGGGGACCACAGAAGGTATGTTGGCAGGCCACATATAGTCTCTAGCTTGTACTTTTTGTATCTTGAAAGTGGGGGAGGAGCCTGAAACCAAATACATACCAGGTACCTATTTTACCATGAAAGAAAATGTAACTAAACTGAGGGAGTGGGATAAACATTTTTATCATGAGGTACCTTGTTCAAGATGTGTCACCAAATTGGCTCTTGCTTTGCTTTCCAGCTGCCAGTGAAGGTGGTGCCAATGTATTTACTGTGTCCTACTTCAAAAGCAGTGCCTACCTTGCACAGTCCCCTCAGCTTTACAAGCAGATGTGTATTTGTGCTGACTTTGATAAGGTTTTCTGCATTGGACCAGGTAAGGAAGTGTTTTGTCTGAAAGGCAGTTGTCATATCTCTGGAGCAAGAATATCATGAATGTTCAGATTATGTAAACACTAACTTTCCAACACCTTTTCCCATCTGATTTATAACAGACAAAAGTTTCATGAAAACAACTAATCAATATGACAGTTTCAGTGTTTGCAGGCAGAACAAATAACATGTTGAGCGGAAATTTGGCTTATGAACAGAGCAATGGTGTTCTCTAGTGGCTATTAGAATATCACACAACATTCCATTTTTAAAAATGTGATTGTACTTGGCATGGTTCAACCATTATTGAATTTATTGCACACATACAAGCTTAGCAGGGCCAAGGGTTTGTTGTTATAAGCAGCTCACTGGAAATCAATACAGCCCTACAAAATGTGTGCAAAATATTTATGTTCTCAATTTTGTAAGTAAACCCATATTAGTAAGCCAAACCAATATTATCCCTCACCCATCCTATTGATCCTGACACTTTCAATATGTAACTTGAGTTAAATTGGCAGCTGTACAATGAAACCATACATGCTCATCACCAATACAGATGCAGTAACTGTTATGCCACTACCCAAATTATAAACTAAAAGCATGTGCTATTACTGAATGACTATCTCCTAACAGATTAATCCTTAAACATGATTATAGAAGATTTTCACTTATATTTTGTTATCTTACTGCTGGGATAGTGAATTCTTACTCAGATAAATATTTTGGGTGGCGGTTCCTCAGAATCAAGCCCCTCAGAACTGTTAGAAAAGGAAGGAAAATACATGTGACTTAAGTTGCAGGTTTTCTTGTAGAATATTGGATGGTAGCCTTTTAAAAAAATAATGCTTTTAAATATTGCTTTTGCCCATTCTTATTTTTTTCCTGACATGAATGCAAGACTAGCGTAAATATTAGTAGCCTGTTCTCCCTTTGGGGATTTGAGTTCCTCTCAGGGAAATAGAACTTTATTTCATATTAGAGCAATTGATAGTAGCAATGGATGTTATAATATCTCCAGGGCTTCTTTTAATTGCATCGATAGAACCATTTAATATAATTTTAAAAGTATATTTCTCATGCAGTATTTAGAGCAGAAGATTCTAACACTCATAGACACTTGACGGAATTTGTTGGTCTGGATATTGAAATGGCTTTTAATTACCATTATCATGAAGTGGTGGATGAGATTGCAGATACCCTGGTGCAAATTTTCAAGGGACTCCAAGAAAGGTAAAAAAAAAAAAAAGTTTTTTTATACTACTTTAGGAAATAAGAGTAAACCTGAGAGTTTCAAAAGTGTTTTTCAGCCATCTCTAAGCAGTTTTACAGAGTCTGCATATTGCCCCCAACAATCTGGGTTCTTATTTTACCAACTTCGGAAGGATGGTGAGACTTCAACTGCCAAACTGCCCGTAGCCGGCACTCAGCAGAAGTGGCCTGCAGTACTGCATTCTAACCATTGCGCCTAAATAGTAAAAAAAGTAGTAGCAATAACAGTTTTTATATATTCAAACAAATATTCTGGCTACTTTTTATTTTACCTATTTGGAGGAATTCTAAACTATTGTTCCGGTTCATAGCTGCAGCAATGATGCAATTAGAAAGATTTAACAGTATCTGATTTGTTTAGTCAACAAGAATGTGAGCCTCAGCTGCCAAATCTTGGAGTCAAATAGTGATTACTCTTTATCAAAGAATGCTGGAGACTACTTATCCAGTGAAACAGATGAATGGAAGGTTAAATAAACAGAAAATTAGACTAAGAAATCAAAGATGCCTAGAAGGCTGCAATAGAAAACCACTTCCATATTGCTGCAAAGAAATCTAACAGATGTGTCCAGTAATTAGTATTTGAGTTCACCTGGAAACCCATTGTCTTTTTCTTAGGTTTCAATTATTTATTGAATAAGAATAAGAATAATTTAATTACTTTAATTACTTTAAATTATTTAAAAATTTAAGTCAGAAGGTTTATTGGCATGTGTTTTATAATTTTATAATTCTGACCAAAACAACTTTAGCCAGTTTAAAGAAAAACTGGGGAAATGTCTGGTAAAACATCATCACTAGATTTTAGAAGCTGACAAGTTAATATCTTACATGCTCACGTACCTTTTTTTTGGATGGCTGTTAGTCTTTCTGCAAGAAAATCAATCATAATTTAGCATTGGTCCTTAAATTTCCTATGTAGCAAATTCATAATATCACAAATAATGATTAGGAGAACATAGAAGTTCCTGCACTAGGATTCCCCATTGAAACCTATTTGAAATGGTAACCAAGAGCATATAAGCTTCAGTTTATATGACAGGTATTCTATTCTGATTTCTATCAATAAATAGCTCATTACTATCTCCATATGAAGACCAACTAAAAATGGTAATGGGTGAACAGTCAAAATGTTTCTGGCATTAGCTGTTGAGGGCCCAGAATCTAAGATTTATAGGTCCTATGGTTTTCGCTCTGTTTCCAAGCTAAGGTTAAGTAAAAAAATATTTAAGAGCCTATATATATTTCTTCTTATTCATTGAAATTATTGGACTTTTACTTCAGCATTATATTTTTATAGCACATCTTGGAAAATCTCATTTTAATTTTTAAAATAAAAGAACCATGACATATAAAATCCATGTGTGGATTAAAATAGAATTAAGAGGTGTAGCTTATTTCATTTATTTTTTGTTTATGCAGCTTTTATTCAGAGATTACTGCCTGAAGCTCAATTTATAGAGAATAATTTTTGTAAAATTTAACTTGCTTAGTCATTTAGCACATCAGACAGCCCAGTAAATGCTTTGACATATACGGTGTAAATGTCGGTCACCTTATCGCAAGACATTACTTTTCCTTGCAGGAAAGCAATAAACTGAATCTTAAATATTACAGTGACAGAGTGAACTCTTGTGGTAATGAAAGGCAATACCTCTTTGTTTTCTGCTTGGCTATGTTGAAAAGTCTTTTGTCTTTACATACAGGTTTCAGACTGAAATCCAGACAGTGTGCAAACAGTTTCCATGTGAGCCATTCAAGTTCCTGGAGCCAACACTGAGGCTGGAGTACCGGGAGGCCCTGGCTATGCTTCGGGAAGCTGGAGTGGAGATGGGTGATGAAGATGACCTCAGGTATGATTTTTCCAGGGAGAAGGAAGAGCGCCATCTATTGGCAAGAGTATACCCGTTCCTGGGATCCTCTGATGCTATTTCTGGATTTAGGAATCGGCTACTGCTGTTCATCTATGCAGAGAATAGAAAAACATTTAAATCTCTCTATAAAATAACACATCATCCCCCCGTAACAGTAAAACCTCCACATCCCAAGACATGGATAGATCTTCAGAGAATAAGATTAAAACAAATGGAATTACCAAAGGGCTTTCTGAATCAATCAAACTATGAATTATAGAAAACATACATAAACAATCCTAAACTGAACTTTTCAGAAGCAATCAATTCATTTTATCAAAATGCTACTGTTTTATCTTCTGCAAATTATGAGGAGCTCTGGTAGTTCTTTCTGACTCGAAACATGTTCTGAGCAGGTAGCAGCACCAGTTGATCTTGCCTCAGCTCAAGAGTTCAGGAGGACCTGACATGTCTAATACTTGGATTGGAGCTTGATAGGAAAAAACAGTACTATAGGAAGGATTTTTTAAAAATCAGGAAGCAAGGAATCTAGTGTGCTATAAGAAATACACCTCTGAGTATACTGGTCAGGTTCCCTACGCCCTATTTCAACAAAAACTGAATCCAAGATTTAATTCCCAGTTTGCTATAGTTGAGCTAGTAAATAGCATTAAATGGCATTTTTTAACCATAAACATTTTATCTCACTTACATTTTTTTGGAAGGCACACAACACAAACCCAGTAATACCTCAGAGACATTCATGCTAAAAGCTAACATTGTTTACATCTGATTGTTTATTTTCAGTACACCAAGTGAAAAGCTCTTGGGCCGTCTGGTGAAGGAAAAGGTAATTTTTTTTAAAAAAAAATCTCTTTAAAAAGCACTGAAGTTTCTTTCTGATATAAGCTTAAATAACCATACCTTGTCACATAAAATTACTTGTGATTTGTATATCACAGTATTGGTGCATATTCTTCTGTAGTAGGTCTCATATCACTGTAGGGTTTTAATTAATTTCTACCATTTCTTTTTCTTTTTAAAAATTATTTTATTAATATCTGCAGTATGACACCGACTTTTATATTCTTGACAAATATCCACTGGCTGTAAGACCTTTCTACACAATGCCTGACCCAGCAAATCCTGTAAGTATGTCTCTCAGTATTGAAAAAATACTGTGAAATAATGACAAATATGAATACATTGCAAATCTGATGTGGGATTTGTGCCACAAATGTGCCATAAACATATTGCAAGTTCACAGTCTGATATAGGTCATTCCCAAAATGAAAACATCTATTTTCGTATTACACAGTCATTAGTTGTCTTGTGTTTCTTTCCTTTGCTTCCCAGTGCATTGTGCCTGCTTACAGAATTGATTGATTGAACGATTGATTATGTGTCGTCAAGTCATTTTTCAACTCCAAGCAGTCACATAGATAGATTTTCTCCATGACAGAATCGTTGTAGTGTGTGATATTGTTGAGATAATATAATTGTAGGAAAGGATTGAGAATATTAACTCTACCATTTGTTCAGTGCAAAAGAAATACTGTTTGAAAGGAGTAGAAAAGATTATGCGATCTCTATCTTGTTTGCCAAGTAAAAGTTCTGTTTTAATTAGTATAATATAAACTATTAGTAGCTTTAGATTGATGGTAATATTCTTTGGAATTAATTGTTACAGCTGCTTTATTAAATTTTAAAATAAATAGTTTTTGAAACATGTCTAAAAGAATAATATAAGAGCCCAACCAGATTCTTCAATTCCTCCTAATAATTACACTGCTCAAAAAAATAAAGGGAACACTTAAACAACACAATGTAAATCCAAGTCAATCACACTTCTGTGAAATCAAACTGTCCACTTAGGTAGCAACACTGATTGACAATCAATTTCACATGCTGATGTGCAAATGGAATAGACAACAGGTGGAAAGCATAGGCAATTAGCAAGACATCCCCAATAAAGGAGTGGTTCTGCAGGTGGTGACCACAGACCACTTCTCAGTTCCTATGCTTTCTGGCTGATGGTTTGGTTACTTTTGAATGCTGGCGGTGCTGTCACTCTAGTGTAGCATGAGACGGAGTCTACAACCCACACAAGTGGCTCAGGTAGTGCAGCTCATCCAAGATGGCACATCAATGCGAACTGTGGCAAGGTTTGCTGTGTCTGTCAGCGTAGTGTCCAGAGCATGGGGGCGCTACCAGGAGACAGGCCAGTACATCAGGAGACGAGGCCGTAGGAGGGCAACAACCCAGCATCAGGACCGCTACCTCTGCCTTTGTGCAAGGAGGGACAGGAGGAGCACTGCCAGAGCCCTGCAAAATGACCTCCAGCGGGCCACAAATGTGCATGTGGCTGCTCAAACGGTCAGAAACCGACTCCATGAGGGTGGTATGAGGGCCCGACATCCACAGGTGGGGGTTGTGCTTACAGCCCAACACCGTGTAGGACGTTTGGCTTTTGCTAGAGAACACCAAGATTGGCAACTTCACCACTGGCACCCTGTGCTCTTCACAGATGAAAGCAGGTTCACACTGAGCACAAGTGACAGACATGACAGGGTCTGGAGACGCCGTGGAGAACATTCTGCTGCCTGCAACATCCTCCAGCATGACCGGTTTGGCAGTGGGTCAGTAATGGTATGGGGTGGCATTTCTTTGGGGAGTCGCACAGCCCTCCATGTGCTCGCTAGAGGTAGCCTGACTGCCATTAGGTACCGAGATGAGATCCTCAGACCCCTTGTGAGACCATATGCTGGTGCGGTTGACCATGGGTTCCTAATGCACACAAATGCTAGACCTCATGTGGCTGGAGTGTGTCAGCAGTTCCTGCAAGTCGAAGGCATTGATGCTATGGACTGGCTCGCCTGTTCCCCAGACCTGAATCCAATTGAGCATATCTGGGACATCATGTCTCGTTCCATCCACCAACGCCACATTGCACCAGACTGTCCAGGAGTTGGGGGATGCTTTAGTCCAGGTGTGGGAGGAGATCCCTCAGGAGACCATCCGCCACCTCATCAGGAGCATGCCCAGGCATTGTAGGGAGGTCATGCAGGCACGTGGAGGCCACACACACTACTGAGCCTCATTTTGACTTGTTTTAAGGACATTACATCAAAGTTGGATCAGCCTGTAGTGTTTTTTCCACTTTAATTTTGAGTGTAACTCCACATCCAGACCTCCATGGGTTGATAAATTTGATTTCCATTGATAATTTTTGTGTGATTTTGTTGTCAGCACATTCAACTATGTAATGAACAAAGTATTTACTAAGAATATTTCATTCAGATCTAGGATGTCTTATTTTTGTGTTCCCTTTATTTTTTAAGCAGTGTATAAGAGATATGGATACCATCATTTAATAGTCTTTTGATCCTGAAATTTTGAAATTTTAAATTCTTAGGTGATTTTCAGTGTCCAAAGCAAAATCCTTCTAGTTAAGTATTGTCTTTCTAATAGCTGTGAAAAATATCTGATGCAAGAAAAAACTATTATGCCAAAGAACCCTTATACCTCATAGATATTACTACAGCTATCCTTCCTGTTTTGGGGAGAATGTCATGACAATTATGTATAGACAATTATCCACACACAAAAAATGAATGCCAAAAAAATTGAAAGAATGGGGAAATGACAAACACTTTAAAAAATTAATTTGCATAGATTTCTGGAGGAAAAGTTTATTTGATAGTATTTAGTTCTAACTTAGTAAATGGACATTATAAAAAAAAGTGTGATTTGACTAGAATGCAGTTTATAGTTTGCAGCCAGAAATGCCTATTTTATAATTTTATAAAGGGTTTGTTTGTTTGTTTGTTTGCTTGCTTGCTTATCAAATTTAGAAAGCATCCATCTCTCCTAATACGAAGCTGAGCTTTCATCAAATGTTTCTTAGTGTCTTGGTTCTTTCTAATTTCCTATTCTTGGTGATTATATAAACCTATGCTGTTTTCATGATAGCTCTATAGAACTGGTTTTCCATTGGATTTTTTCCAGGATGTTTTTTCAACTGCCTAATCTTGCCTATACAGGAATAGTAACCAAGGCACTAGCTTCCAAGATGAGCTAAAGTCTTCTAGGTAGTACCACCTGCTGAAATACTCCCATTTTAAGCAGTGGTGAAACCACAAAGCCTTGTTTTACATTAGCCACTTGCCAAAGAAGGGTAAATTTTCCCTATCATTTTACCTATTTGGAATGATCTGTTTTTCTCCTCCAGTTATTTTTACAGCTATGCAAATTAGAGGTAATTTCTGTATCTCATGGTATATTGGGTGTCAAACTCGCAGCACACGGACCAGAAGTGTCATGCGTTGGCCACGCCCACCCCCAGTTTAGCAAAGGGGGGGAAAGTTGTGATACATCACATGACGATGTGTCGTCGTGAGTTTGACACCCCTGTGGTATATCTTCTCAATATTACAGTGTATATCATACTGAGTCTCAGACTGGAAAACTGGGTGGTGGTATTAGTAAGGTATTGCTAAAACACAAATACCATGTGTTTTACTCAATAGCTTCTGAGTAAATTGATTTAAGGAGGCAGAACCTTCTAAACACTAAAAATTACATCATCTTAATTGGAAAAGAGGTTTAGAAAAGGCTTTTTCCTTAAACAGGGACCCTAGAATGTTTTCTGTGAACTTGAAATAATTCAGTACAAGAAGAGGGTATTGTCTCTGCCTCTGTTATAAAGATTGCTTTCCGGATAATCTTCACAGAATAAAGCAGTTTATTGAGTTTTTCTTTTTTCCTTCATATGTTGTGCTTTCAAAACTGAAAGAAATAAAATTAAAGAATGCAAGTTTTTTATCAGTAGTCAGAATCCTACAGGCTAAACATAAATCTTATGACCAGAAAAGAAAGACAAAGTGAAACAAAACAAATAACCACCATTTAATACACAGCAGCAGTTCTGAAAACTGTACACAAGGGAAAGAGAAAAGTGCTTTTTCTCATGGAGACCATGATGGAAGGATACAATCATTGTTGGAGCAGGCAGATGCTGCCTCAAGCAGTATTTTTCTCCTATGCAGATATTCCTGTTACATTGCTTATGGTAGTCAGTGCCTTTATCCTATGTCATTTATTATCTATAGATTCCAGTTTTGAAGCATACTTAAGCATTGGTTACTAAATCACATTTCCCCCTCCCTCCCCCCCAGATAACCTCCAACTCCTATGATATGTTCATGAGAGGAGAAGAGATTCTGTCTGGGGCACAGAGAATTCATGATCCAGAGCTGTTGACTGAGAGAGCCTTACATCATGGCATTGGTAATTCCTAAGGTCTATTAGTTAAATATATCATTTCTAACAAAGATACCTCTTTATTAGAGGAGCCTGGTATTGCTTATTTTCATATGATCCTTGTGACTGCAAAAAGATAATTCTGTATTTTTTCCCTAGTTCAGGATTTCTCAGCTTTAGCAACTTGAACATGTGTGGACTTCAATGTTGGCTATACTTCATTTGGCACAACTAGAAATAATACTTTTATATTATCCGTATTTTAAAAGTTGGGCCTTGGGCCACATCATGATTTGAGTAGCTTGTTGGATAGCAAATAGAACAGAGTCAGAACTCAAAATAGGACTAATAGGATTGGAGTTTGGAATTTTTACAGATGATTGTTGCCTCCTAGAATATCCTTTCCCTTGTAAAGAAAGTCAAATATTTGTCTAACGGAAAGTAAAAAGTACATATCATTCAAATAATAAAAGCTGTTGTATGGAATTTTTCTTAAAATGGGTTTATAAATTTCTTACCTATTTACTCCATACTATCCCACCCTAGGCACGCCATCTGGATCACTAACATAGTAAATATACCTACAGAAAATAATTAAAAGTAATAACAAAATCATTATTAAAACTAGTTGAGAAAAGGGAAAATATAAAATCTGAGAGAGGGTACTCCATATTTTGGACTTTTACAAGGCGTTCCGTGTACTTTTAGACATCTGAAAGTCAGTGTATTTTAAGGCTAGGAAAAAGGCCATTGTTCATAGTGTATTTACTAGCTATGTGTGAGTTGACCTAACAAAAACTACTACATTGGCCAAACTGCCTTGCCCTTCGGCAACAAAATAATAAATTTTTAAAAGTATACAAAGATAAGAAACTAATACAAGCTAAGAAAATTATGAGTAAAATGAGAAAAAATTAAAAAGTGCAAAAAGGAAAATATGTTAAAAGAAAAAATGATAAATAAACAAGTTCCCCCTTCATCAGTACAATTTCAATAGCTTTTCATCTTCTCTAATACTACAACAAAGCACTTTTCTTCCCATGTCTCATCTCTTACTTATAAACAGATAAAACTTCATTTAATTCTAAGCAGCAAAAGTCCATTAACAACTTAAGAGCTTTCTAGCCTGATGCCTTAACCTCTAAACCAACCTAGATGTCTAACATTGGATAGTCATGTTGAATTAATGCAAAAACATGTATTGGAACGTTGTGAAGAGCTGAAACATTGGTTAATATTGGTGCTCTCTTCTATGTTGAATACTTTTTCCATGATGCTAATTAGAATTTGGCCTGATCTGAAATATAATTTTTCTTTTCAGATTTAGAGAAAATTAAGTCTTATATCGATTCGTTTCGTTTTGGTGCACCTCCCCATGCAGGTGGCGGCATAGGTAATGTAGCTTACATTCATTATATTATATTTTCACTTTGGTCTGTATTCACATGATTTTAATTCCCGACCATTTATCTCTGAGGGTAGGTTTTTTTTTAAAATTTTGTTATAAACCTTGTGTTCTTCTTTTCTTATGAACCAGTTATCAAAGTAGTAATGAAATGACAGTGAAAGATCCTTAATCACAAAAGAAATCATAACATTTATTTGCCATGTTCCTCTTTCTATTTCATCTAGCAGGGCATAGAATAATGAGGAAAAGAAACAATTGCTGTTTGATGGGGATCTGTTTCTATGGTTCATATTACTAATGTGATAAAAATAATTGCTATTATCTCACCCACCGCCTTTTTACTACAAAATCCAATTTAGATATTATAAAAAATGTAATCCAGTTTTTCCTTTAAACGCAAATTATGTGGAAGACTACAGGATATCTAGATAGGTCAGAGAAAGCACTGCACCACCCTGCCAATGTTCTCTTTCAATTCCACTTTGCTGATATTTGTCTCAGACCTTTGCCAGATTGCACTTGGCAGAGGCAGCTGGAGAAAAATATTTGGTACTGACTTTGGTTTATCACAAATAACCCAGCAAGTTTGTTCTCTATTGTGAATATTTCAATATATGTTGTACATATAACTCCATCTTCAGATTAATTAGATTGGATTTAATTTTGACAGGCTTGGAAAGAGTCACCATGTTGTATCTTGGGTTGAGCAATGTCCGGCAGACATCCATGTTTCCCCGTGATCCAAAGCGTCTCACACCTTAAGAAGACTACAACGTCAGGTTTCAAAGATTTAATGTTGCTTCCAACAATCCAGCATAAATCAATATGCAGTGGGAGGATATCTCATCTACTCAAGTGCCACAATAACAATCATTCAACTCATTACTAATGTTTAAATTCAGCTACTTTAACTGATCTGGAGTGCTACAGAAAATGTCATAACTTTTTAAGAAAATAATAAATCAAAGTACTACAGTATTGCCTTGTAGGTAAGCAAATTTCTTAAAAAACCTCAAATTTTAATAAAATTCATAGTTTTGCATAGTTTATTTCAACATGTGACAGCAAGGTAATAAAATCTCAGATTACATTTTTGTCAATAACAATGCAGTGTGAAAAGTAAATTGAGCAAGAATTTTCTTGAGAAGCAACTGGAAATAGTGAGCAGTTTGATCTTACTAAAATGAAAAAGATTGCAATAAAACTTCTAACAATTCTGTGTGTCAGTTTTTTCATTTTGTAGGAGAAATATATTATTTTGAAATAGTACTTGATGCTTACCTGATGCTAAAATTATGCCAGCTTTATTTACATAGGGCATTACCACGAATTAAGGTACATTGCAAAAATGTACATATAAAATGTACATTTAAAGCTAGATCTAGCAATACACAATCAGATTTATTCTTGTACATTAGAACTTCCACTTGCTTCCCCAACTATTCTGTGCATCCATAGATTTTTCCAAAGGATCCTGGAGTAGATTTGATGGTGCAGGTGGGAGCAACTCACTACTGATACTGAGTTAAAGAAATTGTATTAAAGCTATGATGAAATGAAAGTTTAAAAAAATACATATCTTCAAATATTAAGACCTGTGAACTTAACCAAGCAACGTAATTATGTTAGTAAAGCAGTTCTATACATACACAGCAACATATACAGATAGTCCTCATTTAGCAACCACAGATGGGACCAGCAACATGGTCATTAAGTGAAGTGGTTGCCAAGTGAACTTGTGACTGTGTTTACAATCTTACTTCAGCTTTCCTTTGCTTTACAAACCTGCAAATGTCAGTAAGACAGACAACAGATTCTAGTTCCTGCTCACACAGGAGACCTGTACTATTTCTGAGAAATGGCTGCCCAGTCTCTTCTTAAAAGCCTCCAGTGATGGGGCAATTTGTTCCACTGGTTTATTGTTTTCACTGTTAGGAATTTTCTCATTAGTTCTAGGTTGCTTCTCTCCTTGATTAGTTTCTATCCATTGTTTCTTGTCTTGCCTTCAGGTGCTTTGGTAAATAATTTGGGCCCCTCTTCCTTGTCGCAGCCCTTCAAGTATTCTTATCAGGTCACCCCTGGTCCTACTAGACTAGGTATGCCCCGTTCCTGCGGGGCATACCTAGTACAACAAATTGTTCTTTGTATGTTATAGCTTCTAAGACCCCTAATCATCTTTCTTCTCTGACTTCTTTCCAAAAAAGTCATATATGCCAGGGTTGTATTGTATATACCAAGCTTGATCACAAAGTTATTTTTTGTCCACTAAAAATGGTCAATAAATAAGGCAGTCACTAAATGAGGACTACCTATAATTGCTGCTTGCTTCCCTATCCGTGTTTTATGTTACAAAGTGGAATATAAAAATAATAATTTATCTCAGATTTATTCCTAGTAATCTTATATTCAGTTAATCCAATTGGAATCAAATACAATTACTTTTCCCCAATTAGATCTAATATTTCTGGATAAAACTCTTTTCTCAATCTTACTTTTTGACTAATTCGCTAAATCAAAAAGAGGTATCAGGTAGGGTACTTTTTTAAAAAAAAATCAACCCTACATCCTCTATTCTAGTACTTTTATCAGTGGATGAAAAGATTTAGGGAGTGCTTATCAAAATTTCAATTAAATTGGATGGGATAGCTATACTTCAGAAGATTTCAGCAAGTTATAGAAATGGTCTGAAAGTAACCAAAAGACAATTGTAATGTTTTCCATTAAAAAAAAAAATTCAGTTATAACATGGCAAGAGGGGAGGGAAGATCTTCAAAGTAGGTTGTGGATTAATAATTATGACGGGTGAAGGGGCTAGTAATAGTTTTTGTTTCTTTCATGGGTGCTGTGATTGGAACTTGTGTTATTTGGGTAGGGCTCCATCTTAGTATTTTCGGTGCATGTGTGGATTGTTAGTGTAAATTACAAATTGAATATGAGCCAGCAACACAACACGACTATAACAAGAACAAATGTAATTTTAGGTTTCATCAATGTAAATGTACTTTTTAAATCTTGGAACTAGTTCGTGTGTTCCTTGTGGCCTTGGTTAGGTCCCAATTCTGGGAACAATGCATTAAGAAGGATTGAGAGAAGAGCAACAAAAAAAAAAAATTGGGATTAGAAATGAGTTCCAACAAAGGCTGAAGCACATGAATCTTCACATTATCTCAGAAGCTGTCAAACTATTCTCCAAAGCACCTGAGGGTAGAACAAGAAGCAATGGGTGGAAACTAATCAAGAAGAGAAGCAACTTAGAACTAAGGCGAAATTTCCTGACAGAACAATTAATCAGTGGAACAACTTGCCTGCAGAAGTTGTAAATGCTCCAACACTGGAAATTTTTAAGAAGATGTTGGATAACCATTTGTCTGAAGTGGTGTAGGGTTTCCTGCCTGGGCAGGGGGTTGGACTAGAAGACCTCCAAGGTCCCTTCCAACTCTATTATTCTATTCTATTCTAAATGGAAGTAAATTATGAGAGCCAGTTTGGTCTAGTGGTTAAGGCATACAGCTAGGAATTAGGAAACTGCATTCTAGTGCTGCCTTGGTGACTTTGGGCCAAACACTCTTTCTTAGTCCTGGGAAGGAGGTAATGGCAAGCCATTTCTGAAATCTTGCCAAGAAAACTGAAGAAGTAAATCAAGACCTTCCTCATTCTAGATTGTACGATAGAATAATGGATTTAAGTTACAAAAAGCCAGATTTCAACTGAACATTAGAATAAAAATTCCCAACAGAACAATTCAACAGTGGATCCAATTACCCAGAGAGATCAACTCCACAGGATATGTTCAAGTAAATGTTAGATAATAGTATGTGTAGATCTATATCTACCCGAGATTGAAATCTCAAAAACATAGTTTCTATTTTATGGAGTGCTTCTGTAATACATAAGACCAAGTTCACTGGGTGGCCCTGAAACCTGAGAAGAAATTGCCAAAGGCAGAATATCTTGATCCCAGTTAGTATCTGAGGTTTGTTATTGGTAATTTGTCATCCTGGGTACAGTTTCAAATTCAGAAGACAAATTTGGGATTACTGTCTTTCAACTTCTAAACAGAAAAATGGGAAGCTAGAACAACTACTTAATGGGGCTGTTTTAGCCATGCTTGGCTTTTTCTTCCATTCCTTTGCAAGTGCTGAGAAGGTGAAACAGGTACACAATTTGGGGGAAGGGATGATAAAACTAGCACTAACACTGATTAGAACACTCTGGGTTTTACCATTTTTACTGCGAAACTGCTTAACCCTGCAAAGATGGCTTGGACACTAGCCAAGATAGCTGCACTCAAGTAAGCAGTCCTCTGAGCATCTGTATAGGGCTTGGTCACTTGGGAAATCACTTACCCATGGACCGTGGCAGGCTCACCTAAGCATGTCACGCAAACACACCCTATATTACATGCTGAACATACCTAATCATTCTGCAACATTTTCTCAAAATAAGCAAAAAAATAATGTTAATCCCAATAGAAAAATATTTTTAAAGGTTTATCGTAAATATAGCAAGTCTGTAAAGCAAAGTTGTTGACTCATCTGTGATGCCGACAACATAATTCTAAAACAGCACCTAAATGAGATTTTGAAAAGTTATTTTCCAAATGAAGTTCTCGGAATTTCCTGAATATTTGCAACTAAGAATATGGGGCAGGTTTGATGTTAGGAACGTAGGCAGCTAAGACCATCCAGACCTGAGGTTTTCAAAATGTTCAGTCTAAGTAACCTATTAATTAAAATAAAAATTCAGAACCTCTAATCAAAAGACAGCACAATAATAGCAAATTGGCTGTGTTAGAATGAATTGTTTTCTAATTCCTCACAACACCCCATCAAACAATTTGAAAAATCCTGCTCTATACCTTTGGAACTTCAATTGCCATCATCTCCAGAGTTTCTAGGTGTCACTGTCACGGTACAAAAGGAAACAAATTGTATTTATTTATTAATTACATTTATATGGCACCCATTTCCCCAATAAGGCAACTCTGGTTGACAGTACAAAAGGAGGATAGAAGGAATGCAACTAGGGTGGCCAATTGACCAGATGAATGATGCAACTGTGTTTCTTGATTAATTGCCACACAGCTCAATTCTATGTACTCCTAAGTAGCTATGCATAAGAGCCGAGGTGGCACAGTGCAAAGGAGTGCAGCACTGCAGGCTACTTCAGCTGACTGCTAGTTGCAATTCGGCAGTTCAAATTTCACTGGCTCAAGGTTGACTCAGCCTTTCATCCTTCCGAGGTGGGTAAAATGAGGACCCAGATTGTTGGAGGTAATAGGCTGACTCTGTAAACTGCTTAGAGAGGGCTGTAAAGCACTGTGAAGCGGTATATAAGTCTAAGTGCTATAGCTATGCATATGATGCTGCCTTTGGCTGGAACTTTGGGGGACAGACAAATGCATATTCTACTATAGGGAAGTGAAGGAGGAGGAACTCACTGCAATCACTCTTGCAGAATTAGCAAAGTTTGCCAGAATTTGGGGGTAGGCAGGGAATCAGATTTTGTCTGGGTGCACGTTGTGAGGGAACAGTAGTTAGCTACCCCATGCGTGCAGCATAGTTGCAAATGCTGGTGATGTCCAGCCAATGAAAGGAACTATAACACTGAGGTAAGAACAGATGGCTCAGTGTTTTTGAAGGTGGCTTTTTTCCCCATAGTCCCTTCCCAAGAAAAATTGGCTTTCCCCTCCTCTTCTCCGCCTCCCCCCTTAATCTCTTGTGGAATCCATTCATGTTTTTAAAGCTATGGTTCCTGGAAGCCAGTTTGAAAAAGGCCCATTTAGACTATCACGGTCAATACTGGTTACAATTGATCACAACTTTATCTGCCATCCCTGGAGATGCCAGGGGTTAAACTCAGGACTTTCTACCCACAAAACACCCAGGTCTGCAATTTGGGAATACTCCAGATTCAGTAAAAAGCAATGTAATGAATGTAGCAGTTCCTGGAGAGGCCATGCTCCTTGTTTACACACCATTTCATCTATTGTGGATGGTTTTTTTCCACAGAGGTGCCTTTTTAAAAGGTTTAGACAGCTTAAACAGTTCCAGAATGCTGGAGCCAAAGCAGGGCCTGTTAATCTGAGTGTGCTAATTGTTTGCTAAATGCAGCAGCTTAATTGGCCCCCATTCTGTCCATGAGCATAATTCAAAGTTGTAATTAAGGTATCTAAAGACATGGCAAAGCACAAAGCAATGCAGAGGTTGCTGAATTT